TCCCAACACGCACATCAACTTATAATTTAAGAAACTATACAGTTGAATAAATAAACAATGATACCATAAAAGATTTTTATAGGTTATTTTAAAATATGTAATTTATTCTTTGAATTAATTAAATCACCCACTAATATTGTATACAAGTTTAAACATTAAATTTAAAATAATAATCTCTAACATTTAAACATGTGTACCTATAATTATAAAAATGAATATTACGTCCTGAAGCGAAAAATTCAAAGAATTACATAAAACTAGAATATTAAAATTAGAAAACATAAGTCCTGTTTAGATTAAGCAGAATAAAATACTCTATTTTTAAATATTTATGAAGTATTCTTGGAAAAAATATATAGGTATGTAAATATATCAGATACTATGTGCATTTTATTCAGAATTACTTGAATTTATTCAAAAATAAATACATACCTATACGTATTATACAATATGATCTATATGGTTATAATTGCTATAAACATATAAAACCATACAACTCATACAAGCTACACGTTTTTTAACATATGTAATATATATCTATGTACAATTTGTAACCAATTAAATTAACTTTAATATATACATGGTTAAATTATATAGTTTTAAACAATATCTAATATTGAAAACAAAAAACCTAAAATTCAAAAAGACATTATTAATTTTCATACATTTTTAAAAAATAATTTACTGTTAATGATCCAGTTAAAATATACTGTGATTCACTAGCAACTAAACATTGAAAAAAAAATTGGTTATACTACAGTTATTAATTTTAATATTAATTATTAAATTTAATTAAGGAAACACGCTTGTTTATATCAAATAAACAAAAAAGTAGCAACAAATAACTGCAATACTAAGTGAATAATTATTTTTTATGTATATTATAATATTAGAATATTATAAGCAATATAAGTGAGATAAAATATAATTTACTACTACACTTTCAACAATAATACAAATATAAATTAAGAAAAATAAAATACTTTTTTAAACTCTGGTTAAACCGCATTAACTTAAATCGTAAGGAAAAAGGTAAACTAAATTTATCATATAAGGATCTCTAATAGATATTTTATGGCAAAGACGTTCACTCCATTATACCTAACACACAATGTACAAATAACAGTTATTACCTATTAACCATTTTCTACAAAGACTAGAAACGAATTTCATATTCCGGAAAATCTGCATGAAAATATCGGACTATTTTTAAATATATATGAATTAATCTCTATTAAAAAAAAAAAAATTCTATGGTTAATTTATAAATCAATCTAATGTAAATTCAATGTTAATCTAATGTAAGCTGAAATAATTTGAAGTTGATGTTCTCAAATAATGATAAAGATATAATAATATAAAATAGTATAATATAATAATAATTAATAATATTATTAAGTATTAATTGAATTAATTAAGCATGTATACTTAATTTCACATAATAATCAATGTGAAATAAAGAATTTTATATGACGATAGTCAGTATTGGAAAAAACGATAAAATTAAAATTGCTCAGAGAAAATTTAAGTATGATTTAACGTCAATATTGATAAAAACATGAATTTAGCTATGAATCTAGTTTAAAATATTTAACAATTTATAATTTAATAATAAATAAATAAAATTAATTATAGATAAATTTAATTTTTTTTTTATTTTTTAATTTATATTAATTTTGTATAGTAATTATAAGTTACCAATTCATGATTACACAATTACAACACTAAAATGTTAAAAGATATAATTAAATTCATAAAACATTTTTACTACCTATTTAGCTTTTTAGCTTTAAATTAAACACTAGTATCAATGCATTTTAATAGATATAATATAAGATATTAATAAATAATAACAATTCTATAACTCTATAAAAATAAATAGAATTAAATAAAAGTATTATAATTTAAAGTAAATTATACTTCTTTTAAAAATGTACATTCTATATGTCACGAAAAAAAAAATTCATAATCAAAATATTCAATAATATATATTTTAATTTAATATTACAAAGATAGTGAAAAGTGACATGTATGAAAAAATTAATAACAATATATAATAAAGTTATTAAAATAAACCGTGCATTTCATGTTTTATTATGTATGTAGTTTTATAACCACAAGCCATTGGTGCATAGTGTCCATCTTTATGATTTTATTATTATGATGATGTTAATGGATATAGTTGATTTTTTTTTTTATAGCATAACATAAAATTACATAACAGTGTAAGGATTTTTTAACATACCATAACTAATTTTGTTATATTTCCCTGTTAGCCGGCGCTTGGTGATATACTTATCTAAATAGCGTGTTAAATTTTTTTTTTATGCATAACATATTAAATAACTAATACATTTTGAAATACAAGTAAAAGTTTTGAATAATTAAACTATATTAAATTCCGTGTAAAACCAACAAAAAATAAAAGGATTGGTGGTCATATTGCGCACGTTGAATTATTCATTGAATTATTATAAATTTTAATGATATGAAATAATACATTAAAAGAATTATAATAATGTGTTAGTAAAACTCAAATGGGTAAAACTTGTATATAGGTTTCGAGTATTAAATAATATGTTTTATGTTTACAAACGATAACATCAGCTTAAAAATGAAAAGAGACTAAGATTTATTTCTTATTAGAAAATGTGTGTTTTTTTTTTTGTATGCTGTGCCTTATAAAAATATAATTAATTATGTGCAATCCTGTGTATCACCCATTCCGGAACTCGAAATGAAAGCCTTCTCATTTCATCACGTGACGTCAACAGGAAGGAAGTATTGAATATTGCATTATTATTACTTTTTACTGATATGTCTCGATTACTTGAAACACCTCATTACTTTTGGTAGTATTCGTGAACATATTTCTCTAAAAATAAATACATAACATAATCATCTTATTGGCTATTATATAACTAAAAAACATACATATAAATAATATATATATATATATGTTTTTTTAAACCTATACCAAGAATTAAGGATAATATTCCAATCATACAAAATGTTCAAATTGAATATAAATTCGTTAAAAGCATTCTAAAATATAATAAATTAATACTGAGTTATCATAGTCTTAATACTAGTGGCTATTAATAAAATAATAATAATGAATAAAGTAATATTATATTTAATTCGGTTTTATTTGCTTTATCAATTATCGGCTTATACTCCTAAATTATTACTCGAAAATATTGACTAACACTTTATTGGATTTTTATGAATCACTGATTTAGATTTACAATCTAACAATATAACAAAAATTAAATAAATTAAATACAATTTTGGTTATAATATTTACTTTCGTTTAATTCCGAAACAATTTCACTATATATGACGAAGTAATAAGCGTATATCTTTACTGCGAAATGAAGAAAGCAAGGTCTGGGTCGTTAAGGGTCAACTATATAGTACTTGCGTTACGCAACTAAAATATCTAAGTAGCTTTACTTAGAACCGGTTTAAATCACGGAATAAAAATAAATACAGACATAAATATTACGGATAGGAAACTTACTTATGGGGAAATCTAAAAAACTACGTAGACGACAATAATCAATACTAATATAAAAACAATATTTTAATAGACTTGTATTGAGATCGAATATTTTTATTTCAAGGCCACACAAGAAGTAAATTTTACGATAAGAATTATTTGAATTATTTAAAAGAAATATTGATTTATAACTTTCACTTATACATGTCCATATTCTCTGATAAAAAAAATCTTCAAAAGCTTAATATGAAAAAATAAAAAAGTGTATTGTATTATTTTTATTTCTTTTCAAACAATGATGGTTTTCTTTTTAAAAAACTTTTTTTATCAAAAGAAATGTTAAACAATAACGACACATTTGATAAAATAACAGTCCATAGAATATTTAAATTTAAATTTATGAACTTGAACTATGCAAGATTTAAATAAATAAATACTTTTCAATTGTTTAAAATAATATATTACCATAATTTATTTGTATACATATATCTATAATAAAAATAAATATTTTACGATGTATTTATTTATTTTTAATATATTATTGTTTTTCAATATCCAAGAAAATAATTAATAATTTTAATAGAATATAAATTAATTATTTATATTATTTTAAGATAACACCTACACTATTTAAACTATTAAATAATTGTGTTACGAATATTAAGACAATAGGTGAGGTTTTTTTTAGTCGTTGGCTTATAATACACATATTATTAATTATTCAAATTCAAAACATATGCTATTATCAAGAATCTTAATGTAGCTGATCCACCAAAAAAAATTTAAAAAAAATAGATTAATGGTTGGGTGAACAAACAAACGGAATTGAATTACATTTTAATAATAATATTACAATGTTGCAAAATCAATAACCGTATAAATGTAATCAATTCAAATTGTATCTTTTGTAATTGCATCTTTGAATACAATTAGTCACAGTATAATCATTAATCACTACCTTACCATAGTGTAGTAGAGTACTGTTTAATGAGTAATGACTAATTACAATTAACAGTGTATTTACTATTTGTTATGTAACTAACGGTCATAATAGTACGTGTAAAACAATATCTACTTGTAATAATTATTAAATTAAAATACATTTAATATGTTAATCGGCTACGCGTGCGATGAATGTTATAATAAACAATCCATATCATATATATATAATATATGTAAGCAACGTCTAAATGAGGTAACGTATTACTTTCATTTCAAGATGACCGGAACTAGCTATATCAGGATAAACGGGTTCTGTAATAACAATATTAAACGTATCCAAACTTTCTCCTACTATACAGAATAATAATAACATTTAAACTTATCATCACATAACTTACTAATCACGCTTTAAGACATTAAAAATGTTTCGTAACGCTTACTATGATCGTTTGTTGTTCTTACAATTATATGAAATTAGTTCTGCGATTGAATACGCAAACTCTGTCATTGAAAATAATCAACTGTTATTATTATGTTGTAATTTTTTTTTTTACAGATCTTCGTATTGACAGTCGTCATTTTCGCCCTCAATGGTTATGTAACGAGAGCCACATCATTGGACCCTCTCGAGAATGTAGAAATTGATGAGACAAAAATCGATAGAGAGGACTTGAGAACCAAGAGATCTGGGAACATATTTTCGTCACTTTTGAAGAAAAAATTAGGGTTAATCGGCTCATTATCCGGCACGTCATCGGGTAAATCTATTGATCATTCAGAAAACTTTCCAGAACATTTCGAAGAACCATTGGTATGTCATATTTGCAAATTTTATAAAAAGATTAAATCAAATTTACGCGTCTTACATACATATACATATATACACATACCATACCATATATTATATATATTTAAATAAATTTAACGTTTACGATAACGATAATCATTTATGTATGAAACCAACACGAACCTTATATTGCATTTTAGTCTTACCATACAAAATCGTTCAATTTGTGGGGCATTAAAAAAGCAATAATGTCGTCGGTGTTTCAAGCCGCAAAAGCGATAACAGGTGGAGTGATTGCTCTTAAGGGACAATTAATCAAAGCTAAAGGACACGCGGTTGTGGCCAAAGGTAAACTGATGCAAACCAAAGGTGAAGCGATTTCAAACTTTGGTAAAACCATTGCGACACATGCGTTCGACGTCCACCAAGAACCACACACGGAAATACACTCCGGTGTAGGCCTGTACAACCATCTACCTGTAACACCGATACACCAGCCAACCAGTAAATATTTTTTACTGACAACTTTTTTCCTTCTGTACAGTATTTTAATGTATACACTTTCGATTTATAGGTTACGGAGCTGCTACTGCATTTGGGTACCAAGGACAAGTGTATCCGAGTAACGGGTACCAGAGTAACGTGTACTCCGGCAACGCGTATCAAGTTGCGGCTCCTAGTTACCCGACAGGATTCGGGGTGTCACAGGCAGGATACGGCGGTAACATGCTCTACAACGGATACGGCGGTAACGGCTTTACGGCAAAGAGAGCTGTAGTGCAGAATGCACAGGAATCCGCTGTCAATCAAGTGCAAAATTCATGTAAGTACAAAATAATACGTTCGATAGGTATAATAATAATATGTATTAAATACCTAGTAAGTATCTTTTTCAATAATTTTAAAAATAATCTATAGTATAATTTAATACCAAAATTAATACGTAATAAATCAAGACCAGTAATTTGTTGACAGTTTTAACCAATACTGATGACTGATGAGATTAAAACACCTATTAGTCACTAAAACTTGAATAAATAATTCAGCTTAATCGTAACCGGAATTATTATCGAAAATTCTTTAATAATTAAGTAATATATTTATTTGTAAGTACTTAATGCAACTAAATTAGAAGTGATTGAAAAAATATTACTGAAACACCGTTTTTAGTTTACCAGTTAATGGACTTTTATCAATTGGTAGTGATGAATGTTATTTTTCTTTTTTGTTATACAAAAATAATTATTAAAATATTTTTACATATGTATTAAATAAGCATATTTTATAGGACCTGCCAGGAAAAGGTTATGACTTATGACGATTTATTTAATTACCTTTAAGATTCTAACATAAATGTTACCTATGCATGACATTTATTTCTAAAAATTCAAATTAATCAGTATAAAAAGTAAGTTTAACTACAAATGAAATTGTTAAATAACCTATATGAGTTATATAACCCTTCCTTGTCACAATTGAAACTCCAAACTCGAAAATCTTGATATTTGATAGAATCGCGATAGTAAAATTAAATATTACCCACTTGATGGAAAGTTATTTAATTTTGATGGTACTTAAATATATATATATATATATACAGATATGAAATGAACATAGGCAACTGTAGTTTAACAGGATGTTTTTACTAGGTACTAAACCTAATAATTTGAATACATTATAATCATTATATTATTTTTGGTATGGGTCAGTAGATTTTTATTTTCGAAATCGTGTTTTTTATATAAACTTAGTAAACATCGGTGTGTATAAGAAACCAAATATTTTGAAATTTAAATACTACAACGGTAACTAACTTTATTAATTTTACTTTTAAATTAAATGCGCCCCATCTATCTTCACGATAAAAACTGTATTAAATCTATATTGACTGTAAACATTTTTTTTCTTTTTTTATAGACCTATTAAGTCAATTGACAACAAAGTAAAATATTACGTAATTGTGTTTTTAAATACAAACCGAGAGCCCCGTGGCACACTTCCTCGTAAATATTAGTCAGTGATAGATAGCTGGTACTTTCTACAATTTGACCATTTTGTACGTGATTATAGTGAGTATACCACGAAGTCACGTAGGTAGATACATTAAAAATAAACATGCTTAGATGCGCGTACAACACCGATTCGAATTTCGTAGACTTATTACTATGTACCTATTAAAAGACGCTTATTTGATCGTCAAAAATATGCACGGCCGAGTCGGTCGTATACAAGTAACAATACTACAGATTTTGTGTTATTTTCAACGCGTTATGAGTATAGGTACATGTATACTATAATATAGTTGTTGTAACTTGTCGTGTGTTTTTGCGCAGTCGACAAGGATTCGGTTCACGCGGGATTGTTGATCTTCAAACCGATCAAAATGCCTGCGCAGAGCGTACCGACGGGCAGTAACCACCTAACGTTGTCTCAGAGCACGGCGAGCTCACAGCAGTTGATCGGCCAACCGCCGTCGCTGCAACTGCAAGGCGGTGCGTTCAATCCTGCGGACCTCAAGACGCCGCAGCTGCAAGGTTACGGATTTCAAAAACAGTTTCCCGCCGGATTCCAAGCGAACGCGCAACCCGAGGAATACCCGCCGTACTCGAACCCCGGTTACCTGCAGCAAGCGCAGAACTTCGGTTACCAGGCACCGAACCTTGGTTACCCGTTGAACGGCGGCGGCGGCAGTAGCGCCGAACAGATCGCGGGTCACGGTTACGGCGGCGGGTTGCAGAACTTCGACTTCCAACAGTCGGCCAACAGCCAGGAATTGGGCCAACAGCTGGCCGCGATCTCTGGCCAACAGCTGCTGCAGCAGCAGCCGTCCTTTTCGCAGGAGAGTTACGGCGGCGGCAGCGGCGACTTGACTTCGGGCTCGGACGAGCGGATTGCTCAGCCGTCGTACAAACGCGCCAGTGTGGCGGTGAGTCCCAAGCGAAGTGTGCCCGAGGGATTGACGTTGCCCGAACGACCGTCCGCCGCTGCGGGCCAGTCGAAATCGCCGGTCGCGGCGTCGGGCTACGGTGACGATGACGAAGGCGCGAAAACGAAAAAACGGAGCGCACCGTCGCCGCACGGGGACGCGATCGTGCCGTTGAAATACCACGACGATTCGACGGCGGAAGATCAAGCCAGATTGAAGCACACCGTCCAACGGTTCTTCAGCATGCTGCAGAAACAACGATGTGAGTATAATATATAATATATATACAAATGATTTAATAACCTATGCGAAGTAGGCAATGCCCGCGAAACAAAAACAAAAAAAAAAAAAATATGGATATATTTTATAAGTAGTGATACTTACCTAATTAATGGTTTAATGATAAAATATCGTAAACTGTATTAGGTACGGACACGGCACGTGGTCGTGATACCACAATACTGATTATTATACTTATGAATTTTTTTTCGAATTTTAAACATCGCAGAAAATAATACGCTATACGCACTGATATCGCGATTGTGATTTACGCGTTTGCAGTGTAAAATGTTCACTTAAATTTCATGTTTGGTTGTAATCTTTTCGTTTTTTTTTTTATAAATTTTCAAAACTTTTTGTTTTTTAAGGTCCATAACTTTCAAAGCTGTATCTATGTATTTTAAATAATGATTACACAAGTGTTATATCTGTCTCACTAGTCACTAACACATATCATACCATAATATACGTTCTGCAAATTCAATTTTGTGTGTTTAGTTTCAATGTCAAATTGAAATGACCTTTTATCAAACTTGATAGTGAAAACATACCCGTGTTTTTTACGATACTTAATTTTTTTTTTTTAAATTATGAGCATTTTTTAATGTCAACATTTTACTGATTACTCGTTTAAAAATTATACTCCGGTAAAATACCAAAAATAGAACACAGATAATGATCTTACCTTTTCCAATTAAAACATTAGAACTGCTGGACGTATATTTTGTATAATATGCGTCAGTAAGATTGAGACAACACATGAAGGTTCGACGTCCTCTCTAATACATACTTTAAATACTATTGCTGACCAACTCGTTAATTTCGTTTCGTTTCATTTGATTTTTTATTTTTTAAACAGCACACTTATTAATAGCTTACGATTTACATCATTAACACGGGAATTTTGAACCGAATTTCGTAATATTTTTTTTTTTTTTAGATCAATACGCCAAAATCACATAAATCTAAAAGCGACCAATACTGTTATAAGTAATATTACACTAATTGGGTACTTATACATAATAATTATGTGCTGTTACTAATTAATAATTATTATTAACGTGTGTCAATGTAAAAGTACCTAGGTCTTTGTTTTTCGTAATTCAATGATATCAAATATGTTGATATGCATTTCATTTAAATTTGTTTACTTTTCTATCAATAAATTACATGTTCTATGAAATAACTTACTATCAGTGGTCATGATTTTATGAGTTATAAATCGTAATTGCAATCTAAAACCATAGTGTTGAAAAAATATATTACTAGAGAAAGTCATTTATAATTTTCCATGCGTAGATAACTACAACTTTTACTCATTTTTACAACAAAAATATCCACTAAGTATTAAAACCTAATGACATATTAAGAAAAAATAAGCAAACAAAAAAAAAAAACTATTTAATAATTTTAAACCGTAAATTTTTCCAGGAGTGTATCTACTTATGGACTTAAAAGTAATCTATGGAATAAGAATAATTGTGAGAAAAACCATTCACAAAAATCAAACATAGTCGGATCATCTACAAACGACTATGTTTACATAGCTAGTCATTTCTATGATGTATTATTTTGTATGCATGTGCAACCCATTGTTTTGTATAATTATTTTTTTATTACTTGATTTTATTCTTACGTTTATATTGAAACATATAAGTTGCTCAAATTCAAATAAGAAGGAACATAAAAAGGTTTGCGAAGAAGTATTTAAAATTATCGTAGCAATTATTTATTGATAAACGTGTTTTGTTTTTTCACGTTTTGAAGCCAAGGAAAGCAAAAATGATTTATTTTTTAAACACATAATATATATTATAGTACCTAGGTATCTATTGTAAATTGTTAATTGTGTATTAGTATATTATGTAGTTTAGTAGTAATCATTTAATACGTTCAATTTAGATTATAATAAATTATGGGCTTAGTATAAACTATAATTATACACAACACGTATACTCGTAGTTTAGAAGATATAGTGTAAATATGAATTTTGTCACAAATTAATTCAAATATGAAACTATTAATTGTAAACTGATTAAAATTATTGTATAAAATAAAATATATTATAATATACCCATAATTTTAAATTATCAAATTGTTTATTTATTATTTATAATTTTAACCGATACTATACCTGAGGGCCAAGATCAATATTAGGCTTCCTCTCTTATACCTACTTCTTATTATACAACAAATACTGAAATTAAACGTTGTTAATTCCTTTGCGTTACTTCATACATGCAAGTTGGTAAACGACGTGTAGGTATGTGATTCCTTTTTAAATCATTATTGTGAAATTAAACACACATTAAATTTAATAATACACATAGACATAACGAGGGATGAGAGAATATGCAATTATCCCAATTTAAAAATTAAACACTAAACAGTGTAGATGATACCTCTCTTAGTGTTTTTTTAATGGAGAAGAAAAATGTCATGGAAAAGAAATTTTGTTTTTGTAAGAGTTATTGAATTTTATGAAAGTATAATATTTTTAACGATCAACGACGGGAAAAAAAATGATTGTCTGGTCTAAAATTTAATGATATCACCAGAAAAGATAACAAATACGCGATCACCTCAAAGTTTGTCGTTCTCTATCGATGAATCTATCTGCGTATTCCGGTTCAGAGTTGACATTATAAGATCAAATTTAAAAATAAAAAAAAAAATTGTTTTCCAAATTTATAAACCTTACATAAAGATCATATTATATAAAATGTGATAACTAGGGACCGGATTTATATGCACAAAAAACCCTCAAAATATGCTTCTAATAATGCTGTAATATGTTATGAAATATGTATTTATTTTTAAATATGTACTTAAATATGCATTTAAAGTTTTGTTTAAACCTATGTAAAGATATGTATTATGTAAAATTATGTAACAATATTTATTAATTAATATGGTATTAAAAAAGTATAAAAAAAGCTTATAAAGTATTTTGTCGTCTTCGTTGCCATTTATCATTCTGCATCTTCAATCTATAAAGTATTAACTCACATTAATAAAAACTGAAACAAAAATTGATTTCATATTTTATCTTATTGCATTGGATGATCAGAAGTTCCTTAATGTGTTCAAACGTTAAATTCCTCCGATTATCTGTAAGTATATACGTATAGGTTTTCTTACTTTTCGCTATTAGTGTTTTCACTGTTTTATTTTCGCGGTTTTCACATAGACTTTTTGGAAATAACGACCGGTGTCAATTTTATTGATATTATGTGGCTGTGATCGTGAAAATACGACGAAAAACGAATATATGTGTTATAAATAATAATATACACTTTAAAACTACAAATATGCATTCAATATGCATTTAATAGGTAAAAACGTTGAAATATGCAAAATATGCAAAATAAAATTAGTGTTATTTTAATAAGAATCATCTAAATGGGGGACAATTTTCATCAGATTTCAAAAAGCTTATCCCAATACAAATATGCATTTGCATATAAATCCGGTCCCTAGTGATAACCTTGTTGTGTCCATCTAATAGTTACTAAACATAATAATGACTCAATGTTTAAACTGTAAATAATTAACATAATTAATTACTGCTCGTTGTTACGCAGTAGGTATTTATTTTTAAGTAGGTATATCAGCTAGGTTACCAAATTAATTTTAAATATTACACGGAATTGTGGTTAATTGTATCATATTGAAATATGTTTAAAATATGAGATATTTTCTACAATTAAAGTGTATTTATGTAATATAAGTACATATAATATTGTGTTTTAAAATAATTTTTTTTATTAATTTTTTTGACAAAACTTATTTTTATATACTAACTAATATTTATACATCTACAGAAAAATATTCTTCAAAACTTATAACTAGTCATTTTATTTTTATTAATACCTACATTTTTGCTTAAAATTGGTTAAAATTGTAATACATTATTTTTATAATATTTATTAAATACTATTTTTAAACTAAGTAGCTTAATTAATTATTCCACTAATCTAATGGATACACGGGTATGATCACAATTATTACTTAAGCTAATCAACTAAAACATACATTATTTTTAGACTTCAAAATTACCTTTTATAGAATAAGGTAAACAAGTTCTTAACTTAATATTGTAGTTCAGTAATATTCAATGCAGTTAAATCTTAAGGAGTCTCAACAGAATCTAAAAATTAGGAATTAAACTTAAAGTTATAACAGTTAATAATTTTAATTTACTCTCTTTGGTGCATAATGGCAAATGACTTGATTTTTAACATTTGATTTATCCCTTTAGTTGGATATATTAATTGCAATTGCCTTTCTCAGCACTGTAATAACGTCCACCAATAATTTCATATTGTTTTTTACTTAAGATGTGCCTTAAGCACCCCAAAATCTATTTTCAATGGTTGGAAGCATCATTAAAAGTTTCTACGTCCGTTTGATAGATCGTCCGTGCGATTTTAGAACCAAATTAATATACAAAAGTTGATTATATACTAGGTAAAAGAAAACATAATAGTTTGATATAGATAAATAATAATTAATAATATATCCAATACATATATAAACATCCTTGTAACATATCCAATGTTAGTTGCATTACAACCATAATCAGTAACATATTTAGTTAACCAGTAATCGTATAGAATTAGAAGTAACTAGTTTGACCATTGCCAGCGTTTCACTTAATTAGACCAAGAATCCATTTAATTGTAGGTTCTGGATTACCTCCGCTTCACATTTAATAACCGCAGTTTCTTCAGCTGTTTCCACGATTTGAGGAACCACAGTAAAATGGTGCAACTGTTGATTAATTTTAATAAAAATTTTATGTAAATAAAAATTTAATTTAATTATAACCAATATAAAATTATTAAATTCATAACATTCAGATAATATCATATGATCCAGGTGATCCCACACCATTGCTAACTTCACAAGTATATACCCCTTATCTTCATAATGAACTTTTATTAGTAAACTTTGGCCATAATTCTCCTGGTTTACTTATCATTAAATTGATAAAATTGCCATCTTTAACCAAAAGTATCAGGTAAAGGACTGCGCTAAAATTTAAAATACAAGACAATATAAACTAATACATTATAAATTTTTATAAATACAGATGTAAATCACTCACTGCCCACCATAATACAAAATGTTTCTATTTTTGACCCTAATCCTAAGATCTCATTTGATCTTAGATAAACATTAAGAAATGGGTAATTATTTTGTACTGATGTTTCTGGAGTTTGAATAACAGTCAAATGCATAGGTTTCCTAATCTATATCTCTGTTCCCACTATGATAAGAGTACACGTGTAACTTGAAACTAAAGTACCA